CTACTATCGGAGCACAATTACTTTATGCAAGCAATAAATGCCGTTACTTGCAGATGATCAAACCTCTCTCCAGCCTCTTTCTTTAAATTACTTGGTTAGTGTTCGTCTCCAAAGGGGTTAAACCACTTTAAATGTAAAAATATCAGTTACTTAAGAGTAACTTCCGATTTTGCGCACCTCTAAGTAAAAAGCTCGAATAAGTGGCCTCAATTATTCACCAGAGTTAGACTTCGGATTATATTTGAAGTCGTTTGAACCATTTAAGTCAAATAAAGTAAGTAGGAATAGCAACTGCCAAATAGGGATGACATCAATTAAGAGCCGTTAGATTTAGCTAGGCTACATCGCACACACTTAAGCGGCAGGAAGGCAGACAGCGCATAAAGCGTCCCCCCTGGATAACGAGAGAACCTCCAAATCAAAACACTAGATTACATTTATTTTATCGCATTCCACAAGACGTAGGGTGGTTCACAATGTAACACAAGAAAGCTGTGTCAAGGCCCTTGAAGCATACAATTAATTATTAACGGACCAACTTCCACTACTTTAAAATTATGCTACTCCACTTTTACCAAGTTTTATGTGGTCGGGAAGCAAGAAAGAATAGCTAACCTTTATGGGGAACACAAGGACTTATGTATTTTACTTAGCTGTATCTTGGATATTATCATTAGGTTGAAAAAGTATAGGATGGACAGAGAAGAGACGAGGTGCAACTATAGAGAAGCCTACACAGAGCTAAAAGGAAATGACTTTCACTCTGAAATAGACTAAGAGAAAATGCAGGATAAAATTTGTGCAAATAGGATTGCTTAAATAGGCCAGTGACAAATAATTATGCAAGTATATTTATTGTTACTAGCAAATGAAATAGGCATAACGTTCACTCATTTTTTAGTAAAGGATTGTCATTTGATACTGTCACATTTACACGCGTAGGGTCGAAAGGTGTACCGCGAAATGGAGAGCCTTCTTGATCCCAAGCCTTTTCTAGTATGTGGTGTACTTGCTAAGCGGGTAACAGAACAATAAAAAATACTTGTTGTCCGCTAGTGGGAAGGCCTTGGCGTTTCTGCCACTCGTCGTACATTAGTTGCTGGATCTTGGCCTGGGCTTCTGCATCAAGTTCATGCATTGGTCTAGAACAATCCATTTTACGAGTATCTAGTTTTTCTTCGTCGGGGAAAGCGGATTCCCACCAACGTTCCTGATTCTTTTCTAAATGTATATGAAGCTAGGTCGAGGATAGATAAGCATACGGATCACGGACATACCTGGCTTTCTTTGGATAAAAGCGTCCATAAGGATTCATCCCTCTTTATTTCCCAGCAGAGATTCTTATTAAGTATTGTCTTCAACTCACCATCAATCTTGGCCGAAACGGTGACGTGCTGTTTATCTATAACTACGGCTATATCGCGACCAGTTTTGACACATTCAGGAAGCTAAGAAGTACAATTATTAAACAATTTACTGAAATACGAAGATCAAGTTCCTTTATAGTCTGACTCCATTTATAGTCATCTTTATGGGCTCCATTATATGTATCAGGATCAGCAAGAGACATGCTATTGATACAAGGATATTATACTTCATACCTTATCTTAGCCTCATCTACAGTCTTTTTTACTTGTAATGTGTCTTTTAAATTATCACGACCGCCTTTTTTCATACTAAAATACAAAAGCTTGCTTGCCTGCAACAGGGGGTGGAGGTAAATTGGCCTGGGCACGATTCCTTTGATATTCCTCAAATATGCCTTGATATTTCATCATAGTCTTACACAAATCAAGATAGATTAAATACCTTGATAACCATTTGAAGCGCGACGCCAGGTGGAAAGCCCAATTTCTTGCTTTCCGAGGAAAGTGTATAAAAGAAATCAGTCCTGGTTATGAACAAATTCAACCATTCAAACCTGCGCATAAGAAAGCTAAAAATAGCGTCTAAAAATTTATCCAATTTCCCTTCATTTTGAAGGATTGAAAATAAGGCATTATCATAAGTGGTGGTCAAATCGGAGAACATAAGAATACAGACAGGCGGCGAGGCGCGTGAAGTGTAGATAAAGTCATTTGGCTTATATTCTCATTGCCATATATCCATAGTTATTCTTTTTTTTTATGGTTTAATAGTTTCTAATTATTTGAGTTTGCTTTACATTATGGTTGACCAGCGTCTTGCCTTACATTTGATTATCTTAGTTCAAGCTGCATTGCTATCTTCCGCGTTTAATTCTAGTAATGATGGTTCGCATGATTCCGGCTGTGCTGGGTATAGTAGAGCTTTTGCTGAGAATGTAGGCGAGGTAATTACATGTATCGCTAACCACACCTCTCCGATGTCTTATTGCGGATCTTGCCAGAGATTACTTAACAGGTTGCACCATATAGTAACTGATAATATTTCCGCTAGCCAAGATGGTGTTCTTTGTGCCGAATTGGTCTTGCCGGTCTCGGAACTCATGGTAGGATATGATAACCTTATCTACTATGGCTCATTTTGCATAAATTTATCAAACAAGTATTGCTCTCCGTTATCTTATTTTCAGCCCACTTACAATGCTCTTAAATTTATCATCGACATTTGGGACTCTTCCTCCTGTTCTAAGTGCCTCACTGACCCAGTTTATTTCGATTTAAAATTCTTGTTGCCGAGTTCATCTTCTACAATCGACCTTCATCACTTCTATGAGAATCTTGTTAAGGGCGCCAAGCGTTTCGACGTTAGTGCATACCCTTCTGAACCGACAGCCTACAACAACCTAACTCAGCGCTTCTTTCAGCTTCTGGATAAGACTATCACCTGCTTCAACTTATATATAAATTACTCTGCCTCATCTCTACTTGACTCTTTCAACTTTCCGGGTGTTGACTTAATCGAAGTAAACTCTTCCGTCTGTCACGAATGTTACCCAGAATATGGCAATTTATCTGAGTTTTATTTTAAATACTTTCTTAATGAACACTTCAGCCTCAAGGCTAAAGAAAACACTCGTATCGGTATTTGTGCGGATGTTATCAATACGTTTAACCGAACCCATTGGGCATGGAAATACTTACTTTGTCGGAATTCCCGAAGAACTGATCCCAAGAGGTTCTTTG